CTTGTGCAGCTTCATCTATATCATTAACTGTTTTTGGTTTTTTTAATGGTTTTCCTTGGTGATGAAAATTCCGATATCTCACGGTTATCGATTCTTTTTTTCTCTCCAGAAATGCGGACGACAGTGTTTTTAGATACTCCTGTGGCTGCAGCAACACGATCATTTACATTTTTAAATGGAATTGAAGGTGAATTAAAGTTTCCTTCTCTTCTCATAAACTCTATAACATTGGCTATTATTTCGCGAGATTGACTGTTAATCACGCGGCCTCTTAATTTGCTATTAAACTCCATACTTAGGTTCTATTAAACTGTAATGAGCAAAAAACACAAACGAAAATAAAAGAAATGTTTTAGCGAAATTTACATCTGACATTTACGTCTGAATGAAATAGTGAAATACTTGGTGCGCAGAGTGTACTTTCATTGCGTAAATCCGTCGGGATGCCTGTCAGTAGTGCTTTCTCTGTCTAGCCGTCGAAAGCCTCTAGAAATTTGATGAACTGTAGCAATCATTTTTGCACCTGTCTCTAGATTTTTTGTGACAAAAAATAGTATTATGAAGGGAATTATATATAATGTAATTTTTATTAAAAAAAAAAAACAAATTCAGATAATTAAATGTGTTTGTTACTCATAATTAAATTAATATTCATAAGTAAACAGTCTAACGTTGTAGGCTAGAAATAATATTTTTTCCACGTTTCACCTAAAAAAATGCTCCTTTGATACGAAATAATTAGGCCAGGAGCACTGAAGACTGTTCACTTGAAACAAAGCAGAGAAGTACGTGCACTGTGTAGGAATGGCACCCGGCACAGTCGCCATTGTGCCGGACACAACCAAGTGTGATACGAAAACTTTCGAAAGTAGTTTCGTAGTTGGCTGCAGTTTCGGCCAGTTTTCCGCCGAAACCGAAACTGTAGTCGAAACTCTTATTTTAAGCCGAAATTGGCCAAAACCGTAACCGAACCTTCGGCCGAACACTACTTGTGAGTCTGGCAGGCCTTCGTGATTTTAATTGTCAGCCAGACCTATATTTTCACTTAGAATACCACTAGTGCCTAAATTATTTCCGAATTTTTTTTCGAACTTACGAATATTTTGAAATTTATCCAGAGTCGAAGACGATTGATATTTTTCTTAAAATATGCGTGAGTGAGCAAAAATTTACTGATAATAATTTAGGTACCAGTGGGAGGTATTGGGTATGAAAATTTTACATCAAAATATCCAAATTTCAAAACTTGACAGACATACATTAAAATGACTAAAATCAAATTTTCAAAGCTGGCCATAGAACAACATATAAAACATATGCATAAAAGAGCTTCTCAACTGTCAAAAAAATGTTCAGTATAATTTCGTTCAGGGTACCCACCAAAAGAAAAATTTCCGGAAATTTTTCATGGACGCGTTTGAAAATAACGGTATTTGATCTGCTATAAAATAGAGCTGTAAAATTATAATATAATCTATCACATGACAAATTTTAAAACCCGGGAAAATAAAAGCAAAAATATTATATTTTTTCGATTATGAAGATATTACCAGACTCATTTGCCAATTTCGTAAATCAGCCAGACTTATTATTATTAACAGTTCATGATTGTATCAATTTATATGCTAAATTTTCTGCCACACTCACTTTCCACTATCTGAGATATTCCAAACTGCTATTTTTATAAGCTTTATGTTCTAGTTTAGTAAATGTAAAATATTTATGACTGGGAAAATAAGTGTCAGACTCAAAATGTTTGTTTTTTGTCACTAAGAGAACAGTTTATTTTCATATACACCGATTGGAAAAATGAGTACGAGTAAAATTCACTGCCTCCTGAACTAAATGTAAAATTTCAGAATCAATCAAATGGCACGATTTTTCTTTATTTATTAATTTCTGTTCTGAAATCTGAAATGTGTGGATAGATGTGCGATAAATGTTCGAATTATTTTTGTGGGGGCTAATTTGGTTTTTGGGGGGGCTTAGCCCCCCCTAACTTCGCCCATGACTCAGTCCCTAAAATATCTTATTGATGCTGACATCAATAATTAAACAATTGCGGTAAAAATATTAAAAGGCCAGTTAATGAAAATGCCGTGCTTTTTTGGGACTTGATACTAAAGTTGTTTACAATATTAGTCTTTGTGATTTGTTAGTCATTTTATCTACTATTATGTTAGAGGTAAGGTTTGTGATGGTTCCAAATAGTGTTATTCCAGGAGATGTTGATATTATTATTGGATAAGATGTCATATATGCCGCCCTTGTTTACGTGTTAAGAAAAATGCCGATGGGATTGAGTTGCAGCCTGCATCATGACCTGCTCAACATTGCGAAAGTGTTTACAATAAAAAATTTAATGATAAGAAAATTAATCAATTAAACTCAAACAAATAATGATTGAGAGTGAACCGTGTTGTCATATCTCAATTTTACCTTACTAGTTTTTAGCAGAATCAAAATAGAGTAAGTAGTAGAGTTGTAAGTTGTGGCAAATTATAGATAATATACAATCATAGTACTAATAAAAGATATTAATTATAACAAAAATCAGTAATGAGTAATACTTATACATTTCTTGATAATTTAAAATTAATTATTTTATGGATTGTTCAGTATTTGTTACAACTAATGGCATCGGTGTACGGAGCGATATTTGTGTCTTTGTCTGTTACGCGTAAAATCCATCTCGTCGATGACGTTCTCAGTAGTGTATTTCTAACCACGAGCGTAACATCGGGTTTTGAATTATACGGTGTGAATTGTAAGTTTTACAGTTAAGTTAGTAAGTAATCGACGTGTTGTAAGAACAATTGGTGAAAATATTAGTGCTAATAAGTGTTTAAACAATAAATAATAATATTTCTACACCGTTCTAAAACTATGCAAAAAATGGAAGACACTGAAGGGCCTTCAACGTCGAAAAAGGTAAAACGGTCGAAGTCTCGGTCGCTAAGTGAAAAACAAATTGTACTTCGAGTATTTCACTGTCTTGCAAGAGATCATCAGCGACCAAAAGATAGCTTAGTGCATATGTGCTGTAATTCTACGGATGTACCTCCGAATAACCAACCGGGCGTTCCAACATCATTAACTTCCACAATTACAAAAGATAAATTAAATTAGTTGATATGTGCTCTGATTATACGCGTGTACCAAAATCATCAGTTTACAAAATACTAAGAGAAAACAAAATTCATGGGGAAGTACAAACGCCAAAAACTAGTAGCGGAAGAAAAAAAATCACAGTTGATGAAGAAGCCAAAAACAGTATACGCACAACTATTCACAGTTTCTTTTTCAGAAATGAGCTGCCCACTTTGCAAAAAGTTCTGGAGGCAGTTAGCGATCATGAATTGGTCCCACAAATGAGTAAAGAAACTTTGAGGAAAATTTTACACGAAATGAAATTTACGTACGGAAAAGTCGACAGGAAAAGCATTCTCATTGAACGTCAGGAAATAATAGTATGGAGAAGAAATTATCTCCGAAAAATTGAGGAATTTCGGAATATCAAAAAAAAAATTTACTACATGGATGAGACGTGGGTTAACCAAGGACATACGGTCAAAAAAGTATGGCAGGATGGTCATATAACAAGTGCACGACAAGCCTTTATTAAAGGCTTGTCAACTGGGTTAAAACAGCCGTCTGGAAAAGCTAGTCGTCTGATAGTTACGCATAGAGGAAGCGACAGTATTTTTACCAAATGGTGAATTAATATTTAAATCCAAGAAAACAGGCGACTATCATGAAGAGATGAATGCAGGTGTTTGAAAAATGGTTTGAAGGCATCATTCAACTTGTGGAACCTGGGTCTGTCGTCGTCATGGGCAATGCCCCATATCATAGTCGGTATTTAGAATCATTACCGAAACAATCATGGAAAAAACGAGCAATTCAAGAATGGTTAATTAATAAAAACATCCAATATAAAAAAGATAGTTTAAAGGCAGAACTACTTCAGTTAACAAAATTACACAGAGACAAATATAAAAAATTCGCAGTGGATGAAATGGCGTTAAGTCGTGGAATTACAGTATTAAGGTTACCACCGTACCACTGCGAATTAAACCCAATAGAATTAATCTGGGCGCAAGTAAAAGGATATGTGGCACGAGAAAACAGAACACTTAAATTAGTGGACGTGCAACGTTACCTACAAGAAGCCATTCAAAATGTTTCTGCAGAAGACTGGAAGAAATGCATTCAGCATGTTTTAAAAGAAGAGCAAAAAATGTGGGACGTAGACAACCGTATTGAACACAATATTGAACCAATCATAATTAACTTTGATGATAGCGGTAGCAGCAGTGACGAATCTGAGGTTGAAGATTAGAAGAAAATTTGTACACAAAAAGAAGTCTATATATTTAGGTATAATTTTTATTTTTACCATTCACTATTACCATTTAGAAATTATTATATAAATTTGTATTTTTAATTCCTGTACACAGACATGAACAATGTCTCAGCAGGATACAAATGTTTATTTATTTAATTATTATTATTGTATCAATTTGTACATTGTTACATAAATTTGAAATAAACATTATTATTATTATGTTTGGCGGTCAAGAAAACATAATCCTGTAGGTTATATCCAAACTAATTATCTTACTTAGGGATTTCCGAAATGATAGGTGCGTGTAAACTTTTATGATTTAAGTACCAATCAAATAGTAATTTAAGCTTTATAATGTCTTTTAATGTTGGCCGAACCCAATTAGGGTTTCTTGGGTAAGGCTGGCTAGTTTCGAGGAACTGCAGGTAAACCGAGAGAGAGAGAGAGAGAGAGAGAGAGAGAGAGAGAGAGAGAGAGAGAGAGAGAGAGAGAGAGAGAGAGAGATAGAGGTATGCTTTATTGTCATTGAAAAATTACAAAAAATTTATAGACAAAGCGAAGTAAATTAATAACTAAATATAATATAAAAAGATTAAAAAATATAAAAATTTAAAAATAACTAAACAAAACAAAATATCAATTGCATTGGATATGCACTATCCGTCATTATGATTTTAATTTAAAATTTAAGTAATACTTCTGTATGTGTAACCCAAGAAGAAACTTAAGAGACAGTTCCTTACTGACTTCGGCCGCGACATAATATATAAATATACGTTAATTTGTGAAATAAAGTTAAATTCATTATTAAAATAGTAAAATTGATAATATTGTTTCTGTCACCAAAACAACCCCTGATTAGGTATCTTTCTTATTTTTAATTTGAAATATATATATTGTGATTTTTATTAATATTCTTAATTTATTTGGTTCCTACTATAATTACCACAATTATTACTCCGTTTTCATAAAGCCCCACTAATGACTACAACGATTAGGTAAATTACGATATTGCAAAGTTTTCATGAAATAAATAAAAGAAATTGTATGAATATTTTAAATAATTGTACCCTCTCAAAAATAATAAGCACGCCTCCGATTTGGTCGTATTTCTACCTGCTTTCACTCTCAATCATTATTTGTTTGAGTATAGAATTAAAAGATACTTTAAAAATACAAGTGAAGAAACTTTTAACATTTTACTGGGATAAAACTCTTGTTCACATGATTTTGCAGGATGGCCGTGTTAGCGGTGCACCTCTACTCCTCACTATATATTGTCAAAATCCATACACATGTGTGTCAAGATGATTGAGTGGGCGAAGGAAGACCAGTGCAGTAGGCAGTACACAAATAGAAAGTGGTAGTAACACACTAACATTATATTTTGGGAGTAGTTGATCGCAATCAAACCATTTAAAAAGTAGTTTAATTTAAACATTTTATTACGGATGAATCATCCCTTTTGTTAACATAATATACAAGCCAATTTTGAAGAACAACCAGAAAAATATACAAGCATCTTGCAAAGGTTTATCCCAACATATTCTCTTTCATCATAGTAACTAATTTTAAATTAGAAAGTTAAAAAATAAAAACTCAATTCATAAAACAAAAATATTACATCAACCTTCTTTTATAAGCATACAACTCCTCATGATTATAATATTCATGTATTAACTTATACATGTGTTGGAAGAAAAATAACAAATTATCATATTGCCCATTATAAGAGTCCTCACTGTTATTATACAAAAGTTTGAATTGGTCCAAACACTTTTCCGTAAAACAATTATTAATTCCTGTATATTTGGGGTTCAACCCCCACCTGTGAAGATGGATTTCTATTAAAAATTGATGGATAGCTTCAATGGTAGCTAAGTACCATCTAGGGCTGCCCTTTTGATGCCTCCAAAACTGAGAAATCCGATTTTGAATGACTACACAGGGAATTTTTTTCAATCTCTCGTCTTTATAAATACCTGTAACATAAAATAATAAAATATCAAACATGTATTAACATGAAATTGTATTATCATCTACCTTTACTTTGATTCCACGTACTATCAATAAAAACAGCTTTAGTAACAGCCAATTTCTCAGAATTACCCCCAAATTGGTGTTCCTCTCTAGATTTTGGAATTGTCTTCATTAAAGTACTCCTATTGTACCCCTTTGGTAATTCATCTAAAGCTGCATTTTGATATTCTTTAATACTGTCATGGTCTAAACCATTAGAAATAAGTTGACTTACGCTTATCGCATTTTGACTAGGAAAAATAAGGACTACATTTTCGTTTTCGTAACTTGGAATATCAGGATAAGTGTAAATATTTACATCGGCTTTTGCCAAAACAGCAGCATGGCCTGAAGTACTTTTTCCATCTATTTCATGCTTATGTTTGATAATATCGATTTTTATTGGAAGCTAAAAGTATACAATTTTAAAAATATAAGTGTACAAAATCAAATCCTTTTATATACTTTTACTATAGGTAATTTGCCTTCCAATTCTTTTATAGGAACGTAACATGAATAACAAAAGAATTTTCTTGATTTTCCGCACTTCGGACACGAGTGTCTACCTTCTAAAGATCCTAAAATTGAGTTATCGTCAATGTTGAAGCCCTGGAATGGATTTTGGTCGACGTGTTCTTGATGAGATTCTTCCGATTTTGGATTCGACATTGCATTTTTAATTCTAAGATAAATTAATTTTGAATGTATTTTATGCACAACTATTCTTATTTTATTTAAATTATGAAGATGAAGTTTCAAAAATTAAATATTTTAATTTTACATTTTCAAAAAAATCTAACCTCACCTCACCAAATAACAAATTTAAATTTCGTCTTCTTTTTTTCTTGAAACTTCAAATGAATAATAGCCAATGATATATAGTTATGTAGATTGATAATCCAAATGTAAATCAAACTACGAAAGTTGTAAAAGATTAGGAATTAATGAAATGATCTACCCAAAGATATCGGATAATAGATACGCCTTGTATACATTACACTAGTCCGCTACTTTTTTTTGACGGTACGCTCTTCCTATGTTGTCAGATCTCTTTCATCAAATATCAAACATTAAATTTTTATTTAAAAAGTTACTATTACCTTTAAGGACCGATTCCACCGTTATCTTAAACGAAGTTTAAAATGACATTTTTACATTAACAATGTCATTTTAATCTCCGTTTAACACAACGGTGGAATCGGTCCTAATACAATCTAATAAAAAAAGGAAATAAAGAATTGAAAGCATCAATATGAGTTTTTTATTAATTGCAATCACTTAAGACTTTTAAGTATCTATTTTTACATGTGTATCATATGGGAATATTAAACATTTTGGTATAAATCATTTAACTTTGGCAACCTAAGACATTTTGCTGATGTTGTCAAAGTGACAGATCAAGTTTTATTGTGATTTTTGTGGTTTTTTGTAGTTTTCAAGAATAATTTAAACCCTGAACTTTTTATTAAGGACTTTTACGATGGGGAGGAAATAAATAGTGTGCCGAAATACGCAGAATAAGAATGTTATTCGGTCATTTCATAAATAAGATTATGTTAGCATAGACGTAGGCATATACAGGGAATAAGGCTTAATTTATTTAACAGTGTAAAGGCATTTAGCACTAGCATTGTTTATTTAAATAATAATGTTCTATATTTTCTGATCAGGTTTCCTAGAGAAATTATTCAACGTAGAATTTGGCTGCAAAATCTATGCTTGGTGGAGGAAAACATTATGAAAATGAAAGAAGCCTTAGTATATGTTCTGACCATTTTTGTATGGCAGATATTTATGAAAATTTAAGTGGTAGACACATCTTAAAACATAATGCTGTACCTATCAAGTAAGTACAGTATTTATTATGGGTATTTTTATTATATGTAAGCTCTAATATACAGTAATCATCACATTTTACAGAATTTTGGGAGAGGTAGTTGAAGAGGCGAAAAATGAAGAAAAAAAAATATTTTTTTTTAGTGCAGTTCGTAACGGATGCTTCAATAACAATCTCACATGGAGATTGTTTCAAAATTGTTATAAAAAATTATTAATTCATAATGAAGTAAAGTCAAATAAAACTGCCAATGCAATTGCTTTAGATGGCACCAGCATCTTCGATTGTAGCAACACTAGTAGCCAAATTGCGTTAAATTTAAAATGTTACGAATCAGACACTAAAGAAAATTTGGAATTTACAAATGAGCTTCGTGACCATGATTACCTATCTATATATTTTCTGAGCGAATACATTCAGGATGTAGTTGCTTATATTTCTGGTTTTATAGTAAAATCCTTAAAGAAAAAGATTCACTGCAAACAGTGTTCTGCAATTGAACCACAGAACACTTACTCTAATTGAACCAGTGAGTTCGAAAACCGTACAAGTCTCAAATTTGACATTTCAAAATAAGCCATTTCGTTTAAAATTTGTCTCTTCATCAGGCGAGTTCGGATAGTCAGGGGCTGGAGCGGGACAAATTTTAGGGTGCTTTTCAATGACATTTAAGCGTGTTAAACCGTCACTAATCGGACTAAACCGAACGCTAAAAGGGTCGTTTGGAGTTAAAAGTGCTAAAGGAGTTAAAGGAACTTGGCAGACCGAACGCAATGATCGATGCACTATTTCAGTGATGATGTAATTATGGTTCCACTGACAATTAAAGTGACAGTAGATTTTTGGAATGCGTTTTGTTCGTTTTGTTTACCTAAATTATATCGTTTTTTTCACTTTTATAAATATATTCCTAAAGTAAGTAGATAGCATGTATCAAATATACAATCGTTTAGTTACCAATTATATACCTTTAAACTATTTTTTATGACCTGTAAACAATATTTTGAAATAAAATAAAAATAGTAAAAACGTATATGTTAAATTTATTGATGTTTTTGTTAAAAGTTTGGTTAGAATTAAATGTCAGTCGAACCAAAATGACATCACACTGAACTAGCGCATTGAGCTTTAAAACCGTACTAGATACCTAGCTGTTAATGTAGTACAGCTGATTATACCCGTGAAATTAGGTGAAAAACCGTACGTATCTGCGACTCGTACGGCTTTTCATCTCAATTACAAAATAATGGTCAGTTGGAAAAACACAAATACTGAAAATGAAAATTACATAACTGAGATAACAGTTTTGATATTGTATTTTTCCTCCTTTTTGAATAAATATAAAATAAATCTTTTCTCATCGACAGACTTTCTGTCTCAACTGTCAAAGGTGCTACTTTCTGTTCTTAATACACAAATAGCTATTTTGTCTTTTATTCCAAAATATGCTTTACAAAATATCAGTTATCTTATAACACTAAATAAATCTATTGAGCAGATTCTTCACCAAGAGTGTTTGTAGGAGTAATCATGATAGTAAAATGACATTCGAAATGTCACAAAATAAGCTTCCTTTAGTGTTTTTTCTATTCGGACAAATTAGAAATAAAGTATCTCTTGATAATCTTAAGCTAATGTGTTTTAGCCTTGTCCAGATATTATAAAATCATTGCTGATTACTGTCCTAAATGAGTTATTATATCATTACACAAATAATTCTAAAAATAGGTGTCGTGACATACAACCCACATGGTATGTAATAGAAAGATCATATTTGTATATTTATGTATCTGAAATAAAATTGTTCTGTTTTTAATAGCTTTTTATTTCATAAAAAAAAGGTAGTCCGGCAATATAATTATTCTTTTTTCGACCTGTAATAAAGGTTTTCAAACAGTACCCATGTAAAAATAATAATAAATGGCTTTATATTTTTACTTGCTCTTTGCTCTTCATGTATTTAAAAATATATATATAATAAAATACTAACAAAAATGTTCTTCCACTTTGAGCTACCTACTATTTTAATCTATAAGAAAAAATATAAAATGACTTTTTGAATGTCCTGTATAAATTGAATATGTTTTCTTTAAATTTAGCTTTGATTCTGAAGACCCATAGATTATTGATTTGGTCATTAAATAATTTTTACTAAAAATATATGTAAACCCTCCCGAAACACTACGTCAATGTGCGACGTACGATTCCCCTTTCCCCGTCTAGTAAAACATGCGGACAGAAGGTGTATTGGGTATACAGTGTGTAGGGCGAGTCTATCTTAGATAATATGATTTCTTAGAATCAATAGTGTATGTTAATAAAATAAAGGGTAATTATTGGGAAGACGCCCTTTTTTTAATAATCCAATTTTTTTTTCAAAACTTACGTTTTAGGCTTTAGGAAGGATAGTAATCTTCAAATTTATCTGCGGAAACCCCATACATTTTACTTTTTTTTTCTTTTTTATGTATTATTTAGGAATTTTGAGGATCATTTATATAAGCTTCTTTTTAGAATTATATCTGTCCTGTCATACTGGAAACTGTCACGCCATTACAAATGCGCGGTTTTGCCAACTTCTCCAATCCTAATCAATGAAAAATAAATGTAAAAAACTATAATTACACCACCGTTGGAAATCGCAAAAAATGTGATATTTTGGGTTCGATTAATTTTAAGAACTCAGAATTTCGAAAAAAAAATTGTTACACTAAAAAGTGCTCATTTTATAAAGTAAGATTTTAAAGGGCGTCTTCCCAATAATTACCAATTTTATTTAAATTGTTGTAATACACAATTGACTGAATATTAATATTACATCATCTATAAAGTAATAAACAATGTTTACTTTTTAAAAACTCAATTACTTTACCCAAAAGTCTTTAAAGTTTTTTCAAACAAGGAAATTTATTTATCTGACAACATAATTAGGACTTGACGGCCAAAGTCAATGATTATCATCAACTAAAGAGGATAGCCGAATTCGTTTAATTTCTGCTGGGTTAGCCTTGACATTATCCCCCGAATACGTTCAGTTACATTTAAAACGTACACCGCTACACACTTTTTAAAATTACGACGTTTAATATTTTCTTACTTTAAAATTTAAAAGTAATTCAGATATTCAAAAATCATTTGACCGGGCGCGCCCTTTTTACATCTACACTATAAGATATACGCTACCGCCACCTCACCCTACTCCTAACCACTTCAGAAGAGAGCGAACGAAGAGAGCGCGCGCCCAGCCGACGTTTCGAAATCGCGCGCGCGAATTCCAAACGTCGGCCGGGCGCTCTTTTTTTAAATCTACACCATAAGACATACACTGCCGTTATCTCACCCACCTCCTAACCACTACAGAAGAGAGCGAGCGCGCCCGGCCGACGTTTCGAAATTCGCGCACGAAGTCGGCCGAGCGTGCATTTTTTACATCTACACTATAAGACATACGCTGCCGTCTACTCACCCACCTCCAAACCGCTTTAGAAGAGAGCGAGCGAAGCGAGCGCACCCGGCCGACGTTTCGAAATTCGCGCGCGAATTTCGAAACGTCGGACGGGCGCGCCCTTTTTACATCTACACTATAAGATATACGCTGCCGCCATCTCACCCTACTCTTGACCACTTTGTCGGCCGGGCGCGCGCTCGCTCTCTTCTAAAGCGGTTTGGAGGTGGGTGAGTATACGGCAGCGTATGTCTTATAGTGTAGATGTAAAAAATGCACGCTCGGCCGACTTCGTGCGCGAATTTCGAAACGTTGGCCGGGCGCGCTCGCTCTCTTCTGTAGTGGTTAGGAGGTGGGTGAGATAACGGCAGCGTATGTCTTATATGGTAGATTTTAAAAAAGAGCTCCCGGCCGACGTTTGGAATTCACTCGCGCGCGCGCGCGATTTCGAAACGTCGGCTGGGCGCGCGTTCTCTTCGTTCGCTCTCTTCTGAAGTCGTTAGGAGTAGGGTGAGGTGGCGGTAGTGTATCTTATAGTGTAGATGTAAAAAGGGCGCGCCCGGTCAAATGATTTTTGAATATCTGAATTACTTTTAAATTTTAAAGTAAGAAAATATTAAACGTCGTAATTTTAAAAAGTGTGTATCGGTGTACGTTTTAAATGTAACTGAACGTATTCGGTGGATACTGTCACGGCTAACCCAGCAGAAATTAAACGAATTCGGCTATCCTCTTTAGTTGATGATAATCATTGACTTTGGCCGTCAAGTCATAATTATGTTGTCAGATAAATAAATTTCCTTGTTTGAAAAAACTTTAAAGACTTTTGGGTAAAGTAATTGAGTTTTTAAAAAGTAAACATTGTTTATTACTTTATAGATGATGTAATATTAATATTCAGTCAATTGTGTATTACAACATTTAAATAAAATTGGTAATTATTGGGAAGACGCCCTTTAAAATCTTACTATATAAAATGAGCACTTTTTAGTGTAACAGTTTTTTTTCGAAATTCTGAGTTCTTAAAATTAATCGAACCCAAAATATCACATTTTTTGCGATTTCCAACGGTGGTGTAATTATAGTTTTTTACATTTACTTTTCATTGATTAGGATTGGAAAAGTTGGCAACACCGCGCATTTGTAATGGCGTGACAGTTTCCAGTATGACAGGACAGATATAATTCTAAAAAGAAGCTTATATAAATGATCCTCAAAATTCCTAAATAATACATAAAAAAGAAAAAAAAAGTAAAATGTATGGGGTTTCCGCAGATAAATTTGAAGATTACTATCCTTCCTAAAGCCTAAAACGTAAGTTTTGAAAAAAAAATTGGATTATTAAGAAAAGGGCGTCTTCCCAATAATTACGACATTTTACTATTACTTTACCAAAATATTATATACAAATATTTGTAATGAAACCCTACTCAATCCTAAGTACATTTTCAAAAAACTAATCTGACTGAATAATCCTTAGAACATATATAGTCAGGAAGGAGTAGCCATGTCCGCGTTAATCTAATCGATCTGACGAAAGTGGTAGTCATGTTTTCCTATGGATGACTCATCATCATATGATAAATGGTATCTAAAATTGCTTTATAATTTTAGTGATTAAAATTTGTTTATAATTTGGATGTTTTATGTGTTAATTTAAACTTTTATAAAGCGTATGTTTTGTAGAAATTTTTAAAAAGTGTTTAGTGTTTATTTAATATTACTGTTAATTTAAAATTTTTTGCGTTAAAAGACAAACAAGACAATATGGTCAGTTGTTCATCTTGTGGATATAGCTAAAAGTAGAAAGGAATAATCTACATTTCATAGGCAAGTATTTTGTTCTCTCAATTTTCAACCACATTAAAGATTTTTTAAATTTTTAATGTTTTAAATTTGCAAACAAACATGGTAAATGCGTCTGCGATCAACTGTGCTCATAGGCGTAGTCTAATGGTTTATAGGTTATACATACTTTTATTTAAACAATTCTTTTATGCAATATTAAGATATTTATATGGTTGTTAAAATGAATAAATTATTTTTCAATTTAGATTTATAAATTGATTGCAAGTAAACAATTTTCTAGATTCTAGATTTACAAATTATTTAAATTAATCCCAGGTAGGCAATTTTTAGATTTCCTAAAGATTCTCAAAAAACAAAGTTATAGCTTGAGTTCATGTAACAAACAAATTGTGAGCCAAAATATCTTAATTTTTTTGTATTCACGCCATTTTAAGGTAGATTGTTTTGATCGAATCTCAAAACCAAGAATAAGACTTCTACCAACGGCCATGGGCGTCGTTACACAATTCTATAGGGGGGGGGGGCAACATTTTGAAAAATAGAATGTTTATTAGTTGAAAAACAGAGAAATTGACAACTAAAAGAGCAATACAAATTAACAAAAGTTTTTAATAAATAAAATAACCCAACAAAAAAGACAAAAACTAAAATTAAAAAAAAAAAACAAAAAACTTAAAACACATATTTCTAAAAAACAAATAGAAGGTGTGAGATAAAAGAAAAATATGAACAAGGAGACAGAGCCATACATAATATATAAAAAAAAATAAAATATTTATAGAAACACAAAAACAAAAAAAAACTCACTCAAACACGTCGACCTAGTGTTCGTTAATTTTTAATGTCTTCTTCCTCTACCTAAAATAATCGATAACAGAAAACATGATTTCTTTTTAGTTTTTTTTGCGATTATTTTTGGATGTACGTTCATCATGCAAAGCGCAGTCAGCCTATTTTCATTCATTATTCGCTCTGTGCGTGACAGCAGCGCCAACTAATTTATGAACTAACGGACTATATTTGCGTATACTGACAATACAATTTTTAATGGAATTAAAAAATATATATGTTGATTTTAATAAAAGTATATAGATTTGTAAAACAAGTGAAAAAATTAATTATTATATATTTTTATTAGGTACTTCAGCTAAAATAAAAGTAGTATAATCAATAATAAAACATAGGCAGGCTACGGTGGTGTAGGTGTCTACGGCGCGGCATTCATTTGTCAGCCAATTTTCTGGTAAAACGAGACACGGTTTCAGATTATACGGAAGACCATGTGAATTTATTATGGTTCTCTATAGGATTTGATGGATGCCATATTAGCAGAAATTTAATTTCTGTTGATATGACATCCAGATTATTAAAATAAAATCACCATGCATTACCGTTTTCGATGATGGTAGGTGGGGTTTTCCGGGTTTTCCTCACCTGTAAGTCAAATGTCACCATTAATTATCTTTAAGTCGTCCCGGAGCGCCACAGCAAATAATAATAATAATAATATTTTTCCCCGCACAAGCTCAGTTTTTGGAGTTAAAATTCACTCATAAGAGGATGAATTAGGGAGAGAATGATTATTATAAGATTATATATTTACCAGAAAATGTATATGTTGCCTAAACCTAATAAGTTACCATTGAAGAAAAGGTTAAATAATGTGAAAACAAAAACATTACCATTATATAATAACGTAGTCTCAAAACGTATTAACAAAAATAATTGGTAAATTTGCGATTGTAATTCATATTTTCTTTATTTTTAGTTCGAAAGAGTCCATAGAAATTAATTAATAAAATTGGTTTCCTATCAATAAGTCACAAGATTGCATTTCAGCCACATACAATAATCAAAGGCAGAAATCTAATCCTTGCTCAACATTTAAGAGTTAAGGGACGTTGAACAACATTGTAAAATAATAATTTATTGTTTATTTAAAACCTTTTAATTTTCTGATGTCTACTATTTCCAGTATTAGTGTTATTATTACAAAAATAAAGGTTTTTTCTTCTTATTGTACAGCTATCCATTTATTTCTTTGATTTAATTTTCATTTTGCTACTTAAAATTTATATAATTTTTACACTGTTTTTCTGCTAGTATTTTTACAATTTACAACACAGCAACTGTTATTGCTTTATCGCCTTGGACAAATTTCGCTTGTGTTTGATTTTGTAGGTTTTATTGTTTTTTCGTGGTTTTTAGTAGCATTGCAGCATTTAGTTATTGTCAAGTCAATTAGTGTCAAAGTCATAATAAATACATCTTTTAATTTTCTTCTCTCATTTACAAAGAATATTTTATTTCTGTGCTAATTTTACGTAATAATACGTCAATGCGCGTGCGCCCATACTTAATTTAGTACTAAAAATTGGTATCGTTGCAAAAGGAAAAAAATA